TTATTTTCTTCTGCCCGAAGTGCCATAATTCACCTGTGTTTGCATTCAGTGCCAATCAAGACTTTGCTTTTTAAGCCATCAAAACCTGAAACAGCATCACTTTTATTTTATAACCCTGTAAAGCCTGAACCATGAAATAAATGCCAGAAAATTCTTTTAAAAAAAAGAAAGAAAAAAAAAAAAAGAAAAAAAGCAACTGAAAAAGAAACTTTATTGAACCTTGACAAATTCCAAAAAATAAATGTATTTATTTATTTGTTAAAATTTGCACATACTGTTTTTAATTTGTTTAATTTTTGCTACGTCCGGCACACACTGATGATGTAGAGGGCTCAAAAACTCATGTATCAAATATGATACAGGGTTAATATTGTTTCAGTTAGACCACCTTAAAAAAATAAATAAATAAGTGTAATTTTTTGGGCCCTTTATAACATTATTCCAGAGGAGAGACAGGGGAGATAGGGAGAAGAAAGGGGAAGGACATGCAGTTTTGAGATACTTGTGAGTTATTTCCTTTTTTATGTAACTTCATAGTCCTACAGCACTACATTTCAAGGGGAAATATTCTACTTTTTACTCCATTAAATTGATTATGGTGTAGATAATATTTTCTATTAAATTAAAGACTTTGTTCTTCTCCCCCCTTTCCTGTCTCCCTCTACTGCACTAAATAAAGGCAAAAGGCCAAAAAAATATATTTAAAAAAAAATAAAAAATAATTAAAGACTTTGTATTAAGTTCTGTCCAGGTTCCCTGGCTTCCTCCCACAGTCCAAAAACACGCTGACATTAATTGGTGAGTGTAGCCCTGTTATAGACTGGTGACCTGTCCAATCCCACAGTTGGATACAGGTTTTTGTTAACATAACAGTGCCTTCACTGTATTTAATGCTGACGGATCATATCATATATGTATTATTTGACTATGTTTTATAGTGTAACCACATGTCAGCAAAGGTATTTTAACAACAACTTGTATCCAAAAAACGTTTAGGTAGATTAGTCTATGACACTACATCATAGTTTTAAGATGGTAATAGATACACAACAGTCTGAATAGTGCCATTTTGCCCAGATCATACTTTTGCTTTTTGCTATATTTCGTGGTGAGATTGCTGAGCTTTTTCGCAAAGTTTGACTGCAGAACTGTTTGAGAATATTTAGGACGCTCAGTCATCCCACACTGTGTTTAAGTATGTATGTTTGCATTTATATTTTATTTATTTGCCAACTATAACACATGTGCATAAACAAATGAAAACATCTAGTGTACCTGACAGGTATCCTTCTCAAGACACTTAAACTTGTTTTATGGTGGAGTATTAGTATATTCAAGTAGCTTTTTTAAAAATATGTGTATATAAACAGTTTTGTCAAAATCTGAAGATGCTCCTGGTTTTGAGCCTCTTTTGTTTATCTAAAGTTGTATTAGAGCCAAAGAAAAAAGATGAGCGAGAAAAAAGACAGCTGTCAGGTTTTCTGTTGTGTATGTGGAATTCGTCAGAAATCATAGTAAAATTTAATCAAACAGATAACATATATTTCATCTTTAGAATATTTAAACTTTTGCAAATTTCAACATTGGTCAAGTTTTGCAAGATAAATATTTTCCCCACTGGATGTAGTTTTCACTCCACGTCATCAGAGGGCGACACCGCTGCGACATGCACGTGCGACAGAGGTCAGAGGTTGTGAGTCTGACAGCGCCACATGTATGTTGTTGTCTTGTTGATGCTGGATATTTAAAGAGTTTCTGTCTTCACGGTGAGTTTTTATCTCTTTCTGACGATGTTAGGTTTCAAAGCCGACACTGTCTCGTTGCTAAACTGAACAACTGCAGCTGCGTCACGTCGCTTTCTGTAGTTTAAAGGTAAGCTAACACTTCTAGTTCCATTTTCGGACACCCTGAAGTTGAGTCTTTCCTGCGAACAGTTTGTTTCACAAAACTACTAACAAACAAGGTTATTAAACACGTCATGTATTTTTAAAAAGCTTTGCCGTTATCGCCTGCTTTTGGGGTTTTTATTTTGTTATTAATGTGTTGTAGGTGTAACATGGAGGTGCGGTTTATACAACAGAATAGCTGCTTAATGTAGCTTCTTATGAAAATATAAACCTGTGAACGTACTTACTAAACTCATCCGAACTAGAGAAAATCTACAGTATTTTCCAAGTCCAAGCCCAGGACAGCCAGCATGACACCCATAAATTTGAAGTAGTATTTTGAGCTATCTTGTGAAACTAAATAAAGCAGTATTTAACATTTGTGACTTTACAAGAAATTATTTAAACCTTTGAGTTTATTTAATTTCTTCAGACAGCAGCAGCTAAATGCAGCTTTCCCCCAATATTGCTGATGGTGATATTCTAGGAGTGTTAATTAGTGCTTTTATAATACATGTCATACTAGTGTTGTAACAGTGAATCAAATAAACAATTAAATGCCAACAAATACATTTATTGACAGCTGTTCTAAATGATCAGTTAATCAGTCTGAATGATTTTTTAAAATTTTGTTTAACTGTCAAAAATCTCTGAGTTCGTCTTTTTAAATGTGAACATTTGCTGGTGGGCTGCAAGGTGGCTCGGTGGTTAGCACTGTAGGTCGCTGCTTCGTCTCCCGGTGAGGACACCCGGGATCTTTCTGCGTGGAGTTTGCATGTTCTCCCCGTGCAGCGTGGGTTCTCTCCAGGTTCTCCGGCTTCCTCCCACACAGTCCAAAAACATGTTGAGGTTAATTGGTGATTCTAAATTGTCCGTAGATGTGAATGTGAGTGTGCTTGGTTGTCTGTCTCTAAGTGTAGCCCTGTGATAGATGGTGACCTGTCCAGGGTGTCCCCTGCCTTCACCCTGAGTCAGCTGGGATAGACTCCAGCCCCCCATGACCCTAGTGAGGATTAAGCGGTGTATAGATAATGGATGGATGGATGGATGAATATTTGCTAGTTTCTTTCGTCCTCTATGACAGTAAATGAGGACTGAATGTCTTTGATTTGTCATGTTTAGCATTTGGAAACTTTGGTCAACACTTTTTAAAATATTTTCTGACATTTTATAGACCAAACAACTGGTCAGCTAATCGAGAAAATACAAAGCAGGATAATAGAAATAATAATCACAAATGAAAATAATAAAAATAAAGCACTTTATCATAGTAAGGTAACCAGTTATGTTGTGGTGTGATTCTTGTGCTGAGTGTTCATATTTAACCAGCTGTGTCTGCGACAGGTTTCCTGAGTGAATGTGTGAATTTTTTGCCGTTTCAGGTCATCTTCCTCCTTTGGGACCAGACCCCTGAGGTGAAATGAGGAATCTGAAGCTGCTGAAGAGCCTGCGGAGCTCAGAGCTTCAGGGTCCAGGCTCTCCACAGTGTTTCTCTGTGCGGGCCGATACTGGTTCGCTGCTGATTGCCTCACAGTACTCCATCACAGAGTACGACCCCCGAGCTGGTCAGGTGAGCTGACATACCGCACTTGTCACTTTGTTTTTGGGCGACAACTGGCTGATGGGTGGAGATGTTTTGTGAGCTGTCTGTGGTCACGAGTTCTGAGGTTTTTAATCCATTTGAACAACTTGCTCACACTGTTTATGCATTTATTTAAGTTTTGTCTTGGCGAGGACAAAAGTGTGTTTACAGTGTAAAATTAAAAAAAGGAAACCAGCAGCTGAGAGTTGAGAGTCTTGATTGTAATGTACATGTGGAGGTGAGTATTGGTTCGTGCATTATGAGTTGTCCTGCGTTTTCTTCTCCAGGTGGTCAGTGAAGCCTCACTGACGGCAGACAGTTTCCTCCCAGAGGATGGCAGCGGAGTGGTGGTCGGACTGCAGGACCTGGCTGAACTCGAGTCCGCATGTTTGGCCACAGCAAGCGGGGATGTTGTTCTCTTCAACCTAAACACCTGCCAGGTTGGTAGTGCAGAAAGCCTTTTTGACAGCCTTTTCTTTTAAGGCTGTGATAAATACAAAGGAATGGCATTAAGTGAATGAGGGTGTTCTGTTCCACAGTTGGAGTGTGTTGGCAGCGTCGACAGCGGTCTTACCTCGATGAGCTGGAGTCCTGATGAGGAGCTTGTCATTCTCACAACTGGTCAGTACGTTCAACAATTAAAGTCTTCCAGCTTAAGTTCAGTTGAGCGGTTAGTCTAATGAATTAACTTATTTCTCACTACCTCAAAAATGACTTTAAAGTCAACAATAAAGAAGCTTGTCTTCATAGTGAGGTCGATGTATGCATTTGAGTTTGGAAACCATCACAGATGAGCAAGAAATCTAAATTTCTGCTAAGATAGAGATGAGATGAGTATCATCTGGACACACTATTGTTCTAAGTATGTATCTCTAAACAGTGACAGATCAGTGTTTAATAAAATTAAATTTAAAAAATACACATAGAAAGCTAAATAACAAAACAAAGTACATCAACACAATCAGCAGTATTACGAATGAATACATCACTAATAATTTGTGTTCACAGGTCAGGAAACCATCATTATGATGACCAAAGACTTCGAGCCAATCACTGAGGTCGGAATCCACCAGGACGATTTCGGTGAAGGTACGGTGACTCTCATGGACTCAGTTTGGATTAGTGGTTCTCTTTGTGAGTCCTAGAGGTTCACTCGATTGTTCTCTAGATTGACTGTGTTCACCTACGTTGTTTTGCAGGGAAGTTCATCACAGTGGGTTGGGGGAAGAAGGAGACTCAGTTCCATGGCTCAGAGGGGAAACAGGCAGCGCAGAAGAAGATCCAGGTCACTGATGATTCACTCTACTATCAAAAAAAAAGTGTCAAACAATGTAGAAATTTTGATTGAGAATACGTCAAATATGAAAACATACTCTAATGCACATTCACCACAGGAGGTGCAGCCCGCTGTAGCCTGGGATGACCGCAGGCCTCGTGTGACGTGGCGAGGTGATGGTCAGCTTTTTGCTGTCAGCGCCATCTGTCCTCAGACTGGAGCCAGGAAGGTCCGGGTCTGGAATCGAGAGGGCGTCCTGCAGGCCACCAGCGAGCCCGTCAACGGCCTGGAGCAGGCACTCTGCTGGAAGTAAGGGCTCTGTCAATGTGATTTTCTTTAAATACATTAATTGAAACAAACTGGAGTCTTTACCAGCTGCCTGGATTCTGGCTGCTTTGGACTGGCTCTGTTTAGTGATATGAGAATTGTAAATCAATGTGAAATGTTGTCCTGATGTTTCAGACCATCGGGTAGCCTGATAGCGAGCACTCAGCGTCATCCCAACAAACACAGCGTGGTGTTCATGGAGAAGAACGGACTGCTGCATGGAGACTTCACTTTGCCATTCAGTAAAGACCAAACCAAGGCATGTTCAGTTAAACCTCCAGAAACAGATTTTTGTCTTAATTCAAAACAATAAATAATAATAAATCAGCACAGACTTAGTGTTTCAGTTTATGATCCAAAGGACAGTTTCAGCAGATTAATCCACTGATGTGTGTGTTTCAGGTGAAGAAGCTGCTGTGGAACAGTGACTCCACTGTTCTGGCTGTTTGGTTGGAGGACATGACTGCTGGGGAGGATGGACAGGTCAACAGTTACAGTAAGCTCAGAACAATGTATCCGTGGTGTCTGGTGATGTTTACTGTTGTCATGCCATTTACAGTTTCTGCAATTTAATTATAAATTGATGAATAAGTCATTGTATATTTATGTAAATGAGTATGGTGAATCCCCCTAAAGCTGCTGTGCTCCCTCTGCAGTCCAGCTGTGGACGGTGGGGAACTACCACTGGTATCTGAAGCAGAGCCTGGACTTTGGCAGAGACCCTCAGAAGGCTCCAGTTTGTGTCTGCTGGGACCCTGAGCGCCCCCTACAGCTCCATGTGGTGTCCCACAGCTGGACCAGCATCACCTACGACTGGGGCTGGACGACGGAGCGCAGCCCCGGACTGGACGCCACAGACAACGCCAACGTGGCTGTGATCGATGGAGGTGAGAGCCAACACGACGACGTGACAGTGAACTGTTATATTAATCCAACGTGATGTTAATGTTTGTCTAAACCCCCCCGCAGAAAAAATCTTGGTGACTGCGTTCAGGCAGTGTGTGGTTCCTCCTCCCATGTGTTCATTCGAGCTCCAGTTAAAATCACCGGTTAACCAGGTGACTTTCCTGTGTCGACCTGAGAGGACCAATCAGCTGGCAGCATTCACCGCTGATGGACGGATCTCAGTCTACAGCCAAGGTGGGTTTATAAAGTTAGTTGAATGTTTTGTGTTACCTTCCAAAATTGGTAAAATTTCTCTCGTCATCTAATTCGAGAAACACATGCTTCTTTATTTCAGTTGTCAAATGGACTTTATATAAAGCCAGCATTGTGAACTCAAGTTTTTAATTTTTTATTTTTTTTTAAGCTCCATTTGGTTTTTCCAGGACACTAAATTCAGGAAATAGGAGCCAATTTTGAAAAGATTCTGAACCCGAGTCAGATTCCTTGGGTTTGGACCAGTTTTCGATCCAGTGTCTCAAAAATCTGTCTTGAGCCACACAATTTTCAAAATGCCATCATCAAATGTATATTTGCCTAAAATTTGGTCGGATTAAAGCATATTGACCAGTCAGCCTAGAGAATACAGCCCCATTGAAGCAAAGGCAGCTGTAGCTTCAGACCACATTAGGACCGTGTTTAACAGACTGTAACTCATGTCCCCTGACTCTCCAAAATTTGTCCCATGTAATATAATGTGATATTTATGATGCAATTTATTGTTTTTATTTTATTTTCATTTTTCGTTTTGATGTCTTTATATTAAATACTCAGTGAGCTTTTGAATTGTCCCAAGGGGATAAATAAAATTATTTGAAATGAATTAAACTGAATTGTTATTTGTGTTTTATTTTTAACTCCCTGCATATTTCCTCGTCGATCCAGATTCAGGAGAGCAGGCTGACAAAACGGCAGATGCGTTCAAGATCGTGTCTCATCCTCTGGTCCTCCAGAAAACCTTCAGGTAACACAAAAACCTGCGGTGCTCTCTGTGATGCTGCTGCCCTCTGACATGCAGCTCCACCTCACACTCTGCCACCTGCTCCGCCTCTTTCAAGGTTACTTAAATAATATGGAAAAACAGGTGTCCTAATTTCAAAGTAGTGTTTCTGTTTAACTAGCACATGCTTCTTTTTCATTGGCCTGCTTGCTCTTTAAACTCTTTCCCACTCCGTTGTCCTTCCTGTTTGTCCCATTTTCCTGCAGACTGGCAGCTCTTCAGGACGATCCTCTGGCCCTGCGGCAGCTGCTGTGGCTGGAGGATGAGCTGTTTGTGGGTGTCAGTTCCGGTCTGCTGCCAACCTCCTCCACCCTGCTGATGCTCCGACCTGTTCAGGACGCTGCTGACACACTCGCTGTGAGGTCAGCAAGCAAATCAATCCCCTTGAGCCTTGGGTTTATCCTGTAAAACCTGCACATTAGCAAAATTACACTGAAATCCTTTAAAATAATTTACCGTTTACTAACTTTTTCATGCTGTTTATGTGCTTCAGGTCGACTGTGGAAGTGGATGGTGTTGTGGTCAGTATGGTTCACTGCTCTCAGACTGGAACTGTGGCCCTGCAGCTGGAGGACGGACAGATCCGGAAACTGCTCTGGGGTCAGAAAAAACAAACGCTTGTGTTTTGATGCTGAATGATAAAGTGTTTTCCCTGCCCTAGAAATGCTTTGTTGGTAATTATTACTCTAAAATGTGTGTATTCTCCAACTGAATCATTTGAAAACATACTGAACAGCAGTGAGAGTTACCAGACAGTGTGCCTGGTCGAGTCGTGCTCTGTAACAAAGGAGTGTGTACGTCCACAACACACAATAATTACATGAATTACTTTCACTGCTTTCGTGATTAAAATTCATTAGTTTCCAGAAATAAAAACTTAATCTTTTTTTACATTTCTCTGTAGATCATCCTGATCCATCCGTGGAGGATTGGCGTGACTCCAGCAGTTGTAGCATCAACTTTCCTGTTTCCTGCGTCCAGACGGCGCTCTGCAGCATCAGCGGAGAGGTAGAGACACATCAGTGTATAGGTCCATTACTAATTAGTTCTTGTGTACAGGCCTGAATGCGTCTGTTTGTCTTTGCTTTACCTCCTGTCTTCAGGAACATCTACTTGGCCTGACGGACAGATCCCACCTGTACGCTGGAGACACAGAGGTATCCTCTCATCATCCTGTTACCTGCAGGTTGTTTGCTGGGACACAAATAGCAACAGGACTTTTGGAAGATGTGTACATTTATGTCTGCTGTTCTTCTGCAGCTGGCCTCCAATGTCTGCTCGTTCGCTGTTTGCAACGACTTCCTCCTCATCACCACGCACTCACACACCTGCCGCTGCCTCCGTCTGAGCATGCTCACTGTCAAAGGTGGGATAAACGATAAACACACACCGTGAAAAGGGGTTTTCTTATCCTCTGTTCGTCAAAAGTAGAGTTTCCTTTCTTTCCATTGACAAATTAAAACAGAAACATGCAAAAAATACAGCTTTGTATTACTGCCTAATGACAGTAGTAACACATGAATAACACATTTCTGACATAGAAATTAGTGGCAAACAAAAACCAATTAAACCAACATGGTCTCAGAAAAAACAATGCTTAATTTGTAGTGAAAAGTTAAAATACATACAGTTAAAAAGGAAATTAAATATACATTGAGCTCAGACTGAATGCAGTTTGATATTTAATTTTTTTCTCATGTAAATGTGCAGAAATTATGAGAAACAACAAATGCACAGTCATTGTGTTCACTGCCTCACCAGCAGTAACTGTGCATTTCTCAAAGGTTTTGCTTTTGCCACACAGTCGGTGTCATTCATATAAAATGTGCTATTTTTAAAGAATAATCAGTCCACACTGCTTCAGTTATTGCGTTCTCCTATAAGTACATTTATTTTCTCTTGCTTCTGTTTTTGGCTTTTTTATTGCTACTGAGCTGAATGACCTTTGACCCCACAGGGCTGCAGGCGGCCTTGGCCTCAGACGGAGGTCAGAACGATGAGACGCTTCGGCGAGTGGAGAGAGGATCCAGGATCGTCACTGTGGTGCCTCGAGACACCAGAGTGATTCTGCAGGTCAGCTGAATCTCTCTCACACACACACACACACACACACACACACACACACACACATGCGTCGCCACCTTCAGTGTTTCAGCTGTAGAAACCACTGCAGCTCTGAAAATTAAATTTTTTGTGACTGCTTTCATCCAAATTTAAAACCCTAATGCAGATTAGAAACCTCTGACATGTTCTATTTTTTAAATGACAAATAAACAGGTTTGCTCTGTCTGATTTTGTTTGCTGTGTCCAGATGCCTCGTGGGAATCTGGAGACCATCCATCACAGAGCGCTGGTGCTGGCTCAGCTCAGGGCGTGGTTGGACAGGTAAATGTGATATCCCTCAACTCCAGTTATCAGAAGACATGCGGCTTATCACGTTAGTATTGAATGTAGTCGAAATTTACACAATGACCTGTTCTTCTAGGCTCAGGCTGATCTTAACTGTTAAATTATACTTAATATTCTTTAACTAAACTTTCTAGGCATCTTATACTTGAACATAATCATCTTAACAATGTGTACATGTGATCATTTGTAGTTTTGAAGACTGGAACCAGGGAGGGAGCAAACTGTGCATACCTGTCTAAATGTTAAACTCAGCCCTACCTGTCTTTTCTTCTGTTGTTGTTTTGTTTCATCAGTTTGAGATTTAGAGACTCCTTCGAGTGTATGAGGAAGCTGAGGATCAACCTAAATCTCATCTATGATCACAACCCAAAGGTATGTACTGGATTTAACGAGGAGTTTTCTGACTACACGCGTTTAACTTAGTCTGCAGGCTTTCAGACATTTTAAAGGTTCTCTTTGGAGTTTTATTGTAAACAAACAAAAGTTCATTTCTATCAGCTGTTGCTCACAAAAAATCACGTGTGTGTCCCTGAAATTAAAACAATTTGTTGGCATGAAACACATGCAAAACATTTTTGAAAATATATATATTATATTGTTTTCATAGTTATTATGGGAGCTATGTAGCCAGTTGCATTTCCCTCGTAACAAACAGAAAAATACACATGGAGATAACAGTTTACGCCGTAGCACTGTGTCACTGATTATTCCGGATGTCTACCGAGCACAGTGTGTAGACAGAGCACAGGATTTCTGGAGAAATATGGCCGCTGTTTAAAATTGCGGACATGAATGTGGACTCGGAAAGCACAAATTGGTCTTTATACTCCTGGGAACCTTTAAAGGTTCTCATTCACGGCTTCATTCATTAAGAAAAGTGAAGTCAAGTCACAGTTTTTATATAGCACATGTAAGACAGCAGCTGTTGTACCAAATGGCATTGTGGAATTTTCCTAACAAGTTTTAATACTGGGGTTGTGACTCTACATTGTTGTTTGTGGTGTGATTTTGCCTGATTAATTAACACATTTTAAAAATGTTACAAATACTATTTCACTTGACTATAATACATGTAAAGGCTGAGACCCTACAGTGGTATTTATTACGGAGAATAACCTGACTAATGTAATAGTATAGCTAAAACACTACGGTTATATACATCCATCCATTCCATCCATCCATCTTCTCCCGCTTATCCGGAGTCGGGTCGCGGAGGCAGCAGCCTTAGCAAAGCCGCCCAGACTTCCCGATCCACACACACCCCCCCAGCTCTTCCGGGGGGACCCCTAGGCGTTCCCAGGCCAGCTGGGAGACATAGTCCCTCCAGCGTGTCCTGGGTCTTCCCCGAGGTCTCCTCCCAGTGGGACGCGCCTGGAACACCTCCCCAGGGAGGCGTCCAGGAGGCATCCGGAAAAGATGCCCGAGCCACCTCAACTGGCTCCTTTCGACGTGGAGGAGCAGCGGCTCTACTCCGAGCTCCTCCCGCGTGACTGAGCTCCTCACCCTATCTCTAAGAGACCGCCCAGCCACCCTGTGGCGGAAACTCATTTCGGCCGCTTGTATCCGCGATCTTGTTCTTTCGGTCATTATTTTGAAACTTAACCTAACTATTATAGATATTAAAGATAAGACTGTACAGTGTTAATAATTATGGCGATTAACCTGACTAATTTACAGCTAACGATTTGACACTACAAACACATAAATGAATGTATCACAAATGTGAATATTTTCTAAGAGAAGAGGAATTAAATGTTTTACCTGTTCAGTACAATATGTAGACCTTTTAACATTTTGGAATAAATAACAGATAGCAGCAAATTTAAATGATTCATATGCTGAGTAGTAGAAAGATAAACATTTCACAAACAGAATTGTGACACAGGAATGAGAGCATGATTAACACAAAGTGGTATTTTATGTCTGCAGATTTTCTTGGAGAACTTACAGACCTTCATCACGCAACTCAACTCCATCAACCACATCAACCTCTTCCTCACCGAGCTCAAGTAAGACTTGGAACAGTGGTATCTCACATAAAAAAGAACAACTGTATAATGACATTCGTCTTTCTTTGGTACCTAGAGAGGAGGACACGACCAGCAGTATGTACCTCCGTCCTGACAGCAGCCCCGTCCAGCACCAACCAGCCTCTGGGCAGAAGAAGGTGGATGTGGTTTGTGATGCTTTACGGAACGCAATGGAATCAATGGATCCAAACAAGTAAGTGATATTTCTAATGTAGTCCTTACTACACATAATAATAAAGAGTATCATTAGGGGTAAAATATTAAATTGTAGGTTGTGCATTCAGAGGATTTTATGAGAATATCTTAATAGCATTTACAGTCATAGCTGCCAATACAACCTGTAGTTTTTGTAGGTAAGCATGTAAAAACTACGTCAGAAATGTGCAGTGAAACCATCATTTAGTGCAGGGGTGTCGAATCCTGGTCCTCGAAGGCCACAGTCCTGCATGTTTTAGATGTTTCCCTCTTCCAACACACCTGATTCAAATGATCAGCTCATCATCAAGCTCTGCAGAAGCCTGATAACGATCCTGATCATTTGAATCAGGTGTGTTGGAAGAGGGACACATCTAAAACATGCAGGATTGTGGCCCTCGAGGACCAGGATTCGACACCCGTGATTTAGTGCCACAAGTTAAAAGATCATGGTGTTCTCCATCCAGGTTCTGTCTGTGCATACTGACTGCTCATGTGAAAAAGACGGTTCCAGAGCTTGAGATCGCTCTGCAGAAAGTCCACGAGCTTCGAGGTGAGTCCACTTTATACTCACTGCTGATATGTGTATACAGACATATGCAGACACACATGGAGTAGAGGATGTTAGGAGACAATGTTTAATTCCGCTGTCTGTACCCTCATTAGTTTCATCATTAACTGCTGTGAGTGTATTTATTTATTTTTTTTAGAGAACCCTCCTGAAGCTCCGGGAGCTGTGAGCGCTGAAGAGGCGTTGAAGTACCTCCTGTTCCTGGTCAACGTTAACGACCTTTACGAACACTCACTGGGAACGTACGACTTTGACCTCGTGCTCATGGTGGCTGAGAAATCACAGAAGGTACGAGACGAAAATCTGACTTTGTGTTTTACTTCATTTAGCTCAAAACGTTACAAAATGCCAGGAAAATGGATGTTTAGTCCCATGATGCTATGCTTTATACTTTACAGTCAGTTGTGCTGATGAGTTCATAAATTAACCGAGTTGATCATTTAGGATGAAAGGATTTTAACATTCACATATTTCTCTAAACATACCACAAATAATATTTTGTCATCTTACTTTGAAAAAGAAATGAAATAAGAGACTTTTAAAGTGCCAAATACTACTCAAAATTCCTCATCAACTTGCTCTGTAAGGTCTTCCCAAATTGAATTAGATGTTCAGCTCTGATGTGAATTTTTAGTTTCAGACACAAACAAGCGATGACAGTCGATCATCTGTAGTGAAGTCTGTGTGTACAGTAGAGGAGCTGCCTCACAAAAGTGATGAGTCGCTTTCACTTTAGGCTAAATGTAAAAACACCAGGATGAACCTTCAATCACAACTTATAACTCCCTGCAGGACCCCAAAGAGTACCTTCCCTTCTTAAACATGCTGAAGAGCCTGGAGCCGAACTACCAACGCTACACCATCGACAAACACCTGAAGCGCTACAAGAAGGCCTTGCTCCACCTCAGCAAGTGTGGTCAGTCTGTCAACTTGGCCCATTTTACTGCTGTTCAGTCTTGGAAACTTTGATAGAATATATTTTTTTCAATATTTTTTGTAAGCATATCAAGTAGGGCTAGACCCGAATAGCCGACTATTTGTTCACTGTGCTGGAATCAGGATATCAAATTGATCTCCGAATATCCCCGCCGCCGTGGAAACAGAGCCGTCACCACGAAGCTAAACACAGAAACTGGTCTTAGTAGCCAAATGCTGCCTGTGCGTCACGCCCTCTCCAGTTGAAGTTCTTCTCAAGTCATTAATTTAACCTCTCAAACACTAAACCTACTGTATACTACACAATGACAAGTAGTTATATTGGAGTAGTAGGAGTATTTCAGCCATACATGTTCATTAAATGGGTTGCAAGGTGGTGCGGTGCCTCGCAGCTAGAAGGTTGCCGGTTCGCGTCCCAGTGAGGACTTTCTGCATGGAGTTTGCATTTTCTCCCCGTGCAGTGTGGGTTCTCTCCGGGTTCTCCGGCTTCCTCCCACAAGGTCCAAAGACATGTTGAGGTTAATTGGTGATTCTAAATTGTCCGTAGGTGTGAATGTGAGTGTGCTTGGTTGTCTGTCTCTAAGTGTAGCCCTGCGATAGACTGGCGACCTGTCCAGGGTGTCCCCTGCCTTCACCCTAAGTCAGCTGGGATAGGCTCCAGCTCCCCCATGACCCTAGTGAGGATTAAGCGGTGGATGGATGGATGGTCCTGAAATCCTGGCTGTCTGAATGTGTGTTTTTAAGACAGAATTTTCATGGTGGTAATATAATGCTCATTCTGCTCGTGATGTGTCTTCTAACATATAAAAAAACCATCAGAGGGAGTCTTTAACAATTCCAGCAGTAAGAACAGAAGTCATGTCTGTTCAGCTAAGAAGTAGAGTGTGCTTCTCTTTTGCCAAACACAAGTTTGATGTAAACTGATTTGGGTCTTTTGTGTTCAGGAGAGGAACATTTCCACGAAGCTCTGCAGCTGGTGAAGGAGCAGAAACTCTACAGTGAAGCTCTGAAACTGTATCCAGCAGATAGTGCTCACTACAAGGTACAGACACACCTCAGGGCTGTTTGCATCTTCTGTGACTCGTTGGCCTGAAGTTAATCACGTCTACATGAATCAAAGTCATGTTACGAAGCCTCAGCATCAATTATGCATTCATCACATGTGGCAAATGCACAGTAGTGTTCGTGGTTTCAAAGGGATTCAGTGGCAGAAAGCCAGTGCTGTATGTTGCCTTTTCACCTCCAGGCTCTGAGCTGCGCATATGCTGAGCACCTGGTGGAGCAGCAACAGGCGGAGCAGGCTGGCTTGTTGCTATGGCGATGTGGAGAGCCAGTCCGTGCCCTGCAGGCTTTCGCCGGCAGCTCCAGCTGGAGAAACGCCATCTGTGTGGCGCAGCAGATACCGCTACCACCGGACCAGTTAGCTCTGCTGGCCAGAGACCTGGCAGGTAACCATGACAACAGGTGGTCAGACTGACAGACAGAAACATCGGCAGACAGTCAGCTGGTGTGATTCCACCAGGGCGTCACTGCATGTGACAGTTTCTGCTCGTCTCTCTCCCTCATAGAGAAGCTGACTGAACAGAGGCGCTATGCAGATGCTGCTCTGCTGCTGGACCAGTATGCAAAAGTAAGTGAACATCTGGACACATAGCTTCTGATTAACTGGCTCGCTGCATTGGGCGAATGGATAAATGTGGAAGAACTATGTGATTTTAGATGTTTATAGTTAGAATCTGTTATGAATCAGCAGCCAGCAGCAGACCACTCTCTGTCCACAGCTAAAGTCTGAAGGTCTGCATTTCTGTTTCCCACAGGACTGTGAGGAAGCCATCTTGGCTCTGATCACTGGTGCAGTCTGGGAGGAGGCACTGCGACTGGTAAGTAAAGAAATAATAGCAATAACTTTATTTACCTAGCATTTTTAAAAACACATTTTTAAACAGTACTTTGACAGACAAAGCAAAGCAGGAGAGAAAAACTGGCCAAACGATGTAAGGCCAAATTAAACTAAAGTTAAGATAAAGTTAAAACAAAATAACAAAAGATACAAAAATCCAAAACACAATGTGCAAATATAGATGTAGAATTGATTACAGTTGTAAGGTCAATACCTTACTATGTTCAGCGCTGTGTGATGGCATGTGTTGTAAACTACGCTATAAAAATAAAGTTGAATTGAATTAAATGTATTCAAATAAAATAGTAAAGCAGGAAAAACCTTTAAAAAAGGCAGTATCACATAATAGAGGACCTATAATTAACCACGCACACGTCATACTTATCTATGTTATATGCATAGCTGTGCAGTGAAAACTCTTAGGCAGACACACGATCACTGACAAGTCATGTGTGCATGTGTTAGTTTATTACAGATGATCTTATATCTGTTTCAGATTTACATGCACAACAGGCAAGACATCACTGAGACCAACCTGAAGCCTGCGTTATTAGAAGGTAAGAACACGTCACGTTCAGTCAAGTAAGCCTGCTGGTGGGGGGCTTTGTTTACTATGAATATATGTGGAAAAAAACTACATGCAGGAGGAGAGGAAGGGGAAGGCCGCACAAAAACATGTTGTGTTGTTGTCTGTCTTTAGCCGTCGGTACCCAAACTCTGTTCCTGGAGGCTCAGGTAGCGACGTTCTCGCGGCACAGGACCCGGCTGGCTGTGGTCCGTGAGCAGAAAGAGAAGGCCAGACTGGACATGCTTGGTGAGGACAAGACATCATCTGAACCAATGTGTTTTTTAATTTCTTTTGTCCATTGTGTTGTGTATTTATTTGAAATAGTGATTTTTTTTTTTAAAGGCAGAAAAGGTCCAAATGTTTAACATCGGTCAACAGTGTAGCCTCCGTCTGTAGGTTTAATATCCCCCAGTTATATCACCAGAAAGTGGCTAAAAATACCACAAGCACTCCAGGTTTGCAGTTATTATAAACGTGGTGTTTTCTAAGGAGTGAAACGTTCAAAACAAGCAAACAAAAAGGAAATAAAGAAGCAAAAAGAAAGAAATGAATGAAATAATTCTATAGAAAACACACTGGATGTCTACACTTTTAATTGAAACCACATTTGCTCTTTTTTGTACCATCATCTGGCCCCTCGTTCATGGGATTATAAAACACTAATGTTTCACAAAATGTGCATCTTCCAGTAAACAAAACTGCAATGTTTTAAATTCTTCTACATTTCTTTCAAATAATGTATTTGTTAAAAAATCGAAATGACTTGTACACCAAAATTGACTGACGCGCTGATGCCTCCTGTTGTTTTTTCTCATCTTCCACTCTCTAAATAAATGTTTGTTTTTCCTCATCAGATGAAGATGGTCCTGACTGTCCCGATGCTGAACTTTACTCTGAAGCCAGCAGTGTAATGACCGGTTCCAAGTACTCCCAGAGTAACTCCCGTATCTCCTCGTAAGACAAACACGGTCTTCAGTCTGGCCCAACAAAAAAAAACAAAAACAAAAGACTTCTGTTTTGTCACTCGTTTAATAATCATTCTCTGCTTGCAGGAGATCATCAAAGAACCGTCGGAAAGCCGAGCGAAAGAAGCTGAGTCTGAAGGAAGGAAGCCCGATGGAGGATAAAGCGCTGATGTATGCCCTGGGTGAGATCATCACCACCGTGGACAAGATGAGAGGTACAGATACAAACATGCCAAAACTTTGTATATTAGGACCTTCACTAAACAGTTTTGTTTGTCCAGATTGTAGATTCGCTGCTTCTGTTCACGCAAAACAACTAAAGGATCGGTCCACCTTTTTTCCAAGTCGGTCTTAAAGCAACAGTCAGGTGTCCACATGCACATAACCAGACATTATAACATCCTCTACTGATGGGATTTCATTGATGATGTGGAAACATTCAGTTCTCATTCATTTTGTGAAAAAACCTATTTGAAACCTTTTCTAAAACTTTGTACTAAAAACTTCTCAAGCTCACTTACTTTTATTGATTTGTTTAACGGTGTCCGGCTGAAGGCTCATTATAGCTTCAGATAAGGTTCTGAATATGTTTTGGATGAGAGGAGGGCTGTCAAGTAGCAACAGGATTAATACTTACAGAAAGAAAACACTTCCAGTGCTCATGTGGACTCAGAAATGTAGACCTAACCTGTTGTCTGTAGGGTAGAAACAGCAGCAAACGGGCAAAAAGGAATCATGAGAAGTGTTTCATTTTGATGAAACATGCAGCATTTAAAAGACCTGAACTGAAAATCTAAACTTCACTGAATTTGTATGCTCACTGTGCTCGTTTGATCAACATGTATTTTGTTCCTTCTTTGCAAACAGAGGAAGTACACAACCTGCTGAAGGCCTTGGTGCTGTTCCAGTTTGACAAACAGGCAGTGAAGCTGCAGCTGGCCTATGAGGACGCTCTGCAGATGATGGAGGCAGCAGTTCCTGAGGTGTGGCCTGAAGGCCTGCAGAACAGCCAAGCCCCGGTAAGTATACTGCCTCATTAGTAGCTGTAGTAGTTTCTCAGTAAAATGTTTTCCTCACATGTGAGTTTATCTAATTATCAATTCACTTTTATTACATAGCTGCTGTAGCTGGTTTAACAGTCGGGATGCAAATTAGAACAATTTTCGTAATCGCAGCATCAATCAATAATCGGTTAATCGACACCACTAATCACGTGATGTAGTCTGCTGCAGTGGCTTAGTTACCTTGTTTCATTGGTGCAGAAGA